TTTTTAATATTTGGTTGATATATTTTTAATTGTGCTTAACTCACAGGAAGCAATATGGTTTAAAAATTAAAATGATATTTTACACCTGACTTAAGTGAACTAATTTTAAATAGCAGAGTAGAAATATTTTACCTGCATTTTAGTTTCCAATGATTGAAACAATAATGAATAGCCATGTTTATAAAATTCCAATTCTGAAACGCTATTTTTTGGATTCATTGCTTGGTAGTCTTCATAAGTCTCAGGATATTTATCCATTTTTATTTAAAATTAAAACAATGTTTAATTTTAAATTAATACAAATGAAAAAATGTTAATAAAAATATCTAATGTATACTTTAAAATAATATGTACATATCATGTAAAGTAGACTTCAGATACTAGACTGTTGTATTGGATGTATAAGATAATATTGTAAAATCATTTTTACCTATATTTAGGGAAAACCTATACTTAATCTAATCACAGATGTTAACATTTTTCCTCTGTATAATAATTCATATAGTTGTGTATTTAATATATTTAATATATATTTGTATTTAAACTATATAGTTTTTAATAAAATATATATTTTATATTTTTTATTTATTTTATTGTTTATTGTTTTACCCAACTTTATTTTCAAAGTTAGTGTATAATTTTCCATGCCATAATATGTATACCAACGACGAGAAAGTTGATATGGTTTTTGTATATAATGAGTGTAACGGTAATAGTCGAAAATCACTGGAGCTATACAGAGAAAGATTTCCTACCAGAAATCAACCTTCTCGGATGATTTTCTCGCGTTTAGTTAATAGTTTAAGGAAGACAGGACATTTTCCAGACAGAAAACACGAGTCACACATGAGAATTGTGACCAATATCCCTGCCGAAGAAAATGTAATTACATACTTTACAGCATATCCAAATAGTTCTTTATCTAAAGCATCTAAAGATCTTGGTATACCGAAAACTTCAATACATAGAATTTTAAAAAGGCAAAATATGTTTCCTTATAAAATACATATAGTTCAACATCTCCGTGTTACTGATTATGATAAACGTATGAATTTTATTGCTTGGTTTCAGGTTAGTAATCATGTTTTGTATAAAAAAAAAAACTTCATTGAATTTTTATTTAAAAACATTCATAAAATTTATTTATATTTTTATACATTGTTACATTGATACTTAATTAAACAATAATACTATATTTAAACAGTCTATGATGGAAGATGATCCTTCACTTATAAAGAAAGTATTATGGACTGATGAATGTAAGTTCCAAAATAACGGAATATTGAACCGTCAAAATTCTCGTTATTGGAGTGACAAGAATCCTTGTTGGATGAGGGAAAGTAAATTCCAAGTTATGTGGAGTATAAATGTGTGGTGTGGAATTGTAGGTGATTGCTTGGTAGGGCCATATTTTTTTGAAGGTATGTACATATATTTTTAATCAAAATATATTAAACAGCCACATCTGTAAAAAAATATTAAACACTACATTAATATATTTCATTTAGGTATATTAACTGGGGAAAAATATTTAAACTTTTTAAAAAATATTTTACCCATATTATTGGAAGATGTGCCTCTTGACATACGGAACGATATGTACTTTCAACAAGATGGTTGCCCAGCTCATAATGCTTAGATTGTAAAATCATTCTTAAATGACACATTTGGTAAAAAATGGATTGGAACAGTTGGTCCAATTTCCTGGCCTCCAAGGTCTCCAGATTTAACATGCCCAGACTTTTTCTTATGGGGTTATCTTAAAGATAAAGTATATAAAACTGAATCTGTAGACATCAATGACATGAAAGAAAAAATAAAATCTGCATGTTTTAAATTGTCAAAAGAAACATTAAAAAATGCCACTGGACGAAAGTTAATGGAACGTTTCGAAAACTGTGTACTAGAAGCTGGACATCAATTTGAACACCTAATGCAATAGGTGTCTTTTAGTAAGATGCTTTAGTGATATGGTTTAACTTATAGATACTACACAATAAATAATTTAACGAGTACATTTTATTTAATTAATCATACATAAAGATCTTCATACCTACCTACTTCTATAATCGAATAATTGGAATATAATCTTGTTGCGGTTGTGATTATTTGGTATTCATTGTAATATGTAATCTAATTTGATTGAACTGGATATAACAGAGATATAACTTTATTTCAATTATTCCTTCAATATTCTTTCTAAATGATAAACATAATATGTTTAAGCTTTTACAACTTTCATAAAAAAAATAAAAAAAACATTTCAATTAGGTACCTAGCATAAATTAATTTTTAAATTATAAAGACTAGATTCTTGTGCAAATTGAAATTTTCACTTTGTAATTCCATATCTAAAATTGTATTGAATTTGTACCTATGTATTCGTAAATCTCTATGGATCGAAATCGATTAATTTTAATAGTTTTATTTTGCATAGCAAAAATGTGACAACTAACGATCATGATATACAAATACAATGTATAACCATTTGGCTATTATAGTATGAAAGCATGATAGTTAATTAACAAAATATTATAAATTAAATTAAATTATATTATGGGTGCCTATTAAACACAAATACATGAAATTGAATTTTGCATAGTTCAAAATTTTAATTGATTTTTAGGTATTTGGTGCACAAAAATCTGGTCTTGGTCTTTAGTAATACAATTTAATTTATAAGTAACTCATAAAGTAGTTAATAGGTTACTATAACTAAGGCTATTATCTATTTAAAAAATAACTACTTACTAAGGAAAAATTTCCTGCCAAAAATCAAACTTTCCAAATGGTTTTCTCACGATTAAATGTTGGTTTGAACGTTTTTCTAGTAACAAATTCCCAGTAACAATATACAACTGTACGAGTACACACACTACGCGTTTGTCAGTTATTTAAATTTAAGTCATCAAATTAATTCGTTAACGGCGTTAACGGCTATTTTTATTTACACATATAGTATTTCAGTAAAAAATAAAAATAAAATAATTTTAAGGTTATAAATCATATCTTTAAACTTATATCACTATTATCATTGATAAAATAATTGAATAATACAAAACGCTATTATCACAGTCTTAGACTCTTATAGGTTATACCTACATATTAATATATTATTTTATTTTACAAAGTCATTGATTGTCAGATTAAGAAATGCAATTAGGACACCATAAATAAAAATAATCTCTAATTGGTAATAATATCAAACGATAATACTGATATACGTTTTGTAATGACTACTGTTTACTATAATAAATTGATAATTACATACCCAGATTATTAAGGTTGTACAACAGAAGCACTTTTAGTGTTATTCACTGTAGAAATTTAATAATTTAACACCAATATTCAGATGTCGATAACTCATTCAATTATTAAGATATTTTTGTTAATGACCCGTCAAAATTCATTTAAAATTAAGCTGTGCACAAATCGTATTTCAAAAATATATGTTCCCATTTGAATTTTAAAAGTTACCCCTAAAATTTCCCCTTTTTAATTAATAAAAAAAAAAAATTTATATCAAATTATTTTAGCTTATATGATTCAAAAAGGTTTTCACATAGGTCATTTTTTCCTAATTTAAATATATCATGCTGAAATCTGCTGTCACATGAAATTTGGAACACCCTATATATATATGTATATAATCCCTTTCCAAATTAATACAAAATGAGGCCCACCTAGTAGCTCCTACTGCGATTAAAAATCCTTGATACAAAAAAATAATAATAATAAAATTAATTAATTAATTAATTAATAAATAAAATTGTCGCAAATGTCACAAAATAATATTGATCAAGAGAATGTAATAGAAGAACCAATTTTTGTTTCACTATCAGATGAAATAAACAAATTTAAGAAACCTCAATTAATTTCAGAGTTAAATAAAAGAAATTTAAATAGTGCGGGAACAGTTGCAGAACTTAAAAATAGATTATTAAAATATTTAAACGAAGAATCTTACTCAAACGATTTTGTAACAATAAATGACAATTGTCAAAACTTATATAATCAAACTAAAACAAATGCGATGGATAGTAAAAAACCCTATTTCAAACCAGGTACTTTTTCTGGATCTTTATCTGAAAGCATAGACGCATTTTAAAAAAAAAATCAAAGAGCAGCTTCAATTAATAGTTGGACTGAACAAGAAAAATTACAATTTTTACCTACATTTTTAGAGGTCTCATCACTAACTTTTTATGAAAACATTGAAAATCAAAATTTTAATTAATGAGATGATTTAGAAAAGGAACTTTTAATTGAATTCGAACCCATAGCTCATAAAGATAAGCTTCGATTATTACTCGAAAAAAGAAAGCAATTAGATGATGAACTACCTATTGCATATATCAATGAAATTGAATCACTTTGTAGACGTATAGACTCTGGAATGGCACAATAAGAAATAACTAGATAATATGTAATGAAGAGTCTTAAGCCAAATATTGCTAGATACATTGGGATATTAGATAACTTATCTCTAAAATTATTAAAAGACCACAAACTCTTAAACCTTCCACAAAATGGACATTGGCGTACAAAAGTATTGAACACTTTATGACAGCGGGAATCTACAATTAGGACTTGAACATATCTTTTATTATTACTTAAATCTCTTACAGACAGTAAATAAAAAGACCCGTGTTTTTTTAATTTTTATTAAAAATTAAAATTGACTGAGTTATTGAACTAAAAAAATTTCGCGTACGTTTTTAGTGGGCGTGGGCTACGCGTGACGTCAATATCCAGTATAGCTTTGCCCCTTAGTGGTCGCGCTTATGAGAATCTTGTTTGTAGTCGTGCCTTGGCATTTACATCGCTGTTTAATTTCTTTATTTAAAGATTTTAATTGTTATTTTATATATATATTTATATATTATAGATAATAATTATAATTTCTATTTTAAGTTTTGATTTATATTATTATGCAAAGCACAGGCCAAGGAATTTAAATAGACATAGTTAATCGAGAAAATGTATATTTATTGTGGTTATATTAAATAATTATATTAATTTTAATTATATAATAATAATATATTAATTTACCTACAAATTTATGAAATATGTAGTGTAGAATATGAGTTTCTTTTTTTTTTTTGTATTGAGCTTAAGTTTCGGGGACTAGGGCCATTAGCTGTTGTAGGGGTTATGAACTGTGGTAGGGGTAAGGTCGGTACGGTAGATTGTTTTTTTTTATGACCTAACCTAAACTTCTGCACATAACGTGGAATAGTGGGCCCTCGAAATGGTTGAATGAAAAACTCGAGTACCCCGTCCAAAAGCTTATAAAATTTTAAAGTTTTTATGAAATTGGCACTGCCTTGGAAATTAATTGTTGTTAAACAACATTGAAATTTATTAAAATTTTGACAATTTAAAGTTTTAAATAATTTGTGTTATTTCTTTAACCCAAAAAATGATGTAGGAACTTTGAAGGGTAAGTTTTATTAATCCCAATTATATGTGCTTTTCAGCGGTGTATTCAAATTTATTGTAGGATCAACGGTTCAGCAGATATGCGAATTATTATGAATGAAACTTGCGTTCGATCAAAAAAACACAAAAATCCCCACCTCTCCCTTATTAATGAAAGTTCGATAATGGTCATAAGGAGTTTTTTTGTTGCATTTGAGGTGTAGAAGTACCTCTTGAAGTTTGACATATTTATCGTGCAACACCCTGTATTATAAATTAATTTATGCTTATTAAACTGTTTTATTTTTAATACATTGCACAGGATGATTATCGTTGTGCATATAACAATTATAATCTTTTTTTTTTTTTTTTTATTAAAAATAAAGTATATTTACAATCTATACATAAGTGTATAATGAGTAAGTGTGGTGACAGAGTAAGTAAGTAATATGAAAAGAAAAATAATAATAACAAGAGAAGGAAGGCTCCCAGCAGTGCCACCTGACCAGAAATTTGGGTTTGAGTTTATTTAATTATTGTTTTTTTTTTTTTTTTTTTTTTTTTTTTTTTTTTGTTAGGTGTTGAGAAGATCTCTTGGCCATTGCCTTTTTAACCTTCTAGGAATGATAGATGTAGAGGATAAACTTTAAATGATGGGGTTTGAATGAGCGCGGAGCATTGAGTGGAATTTTGAATAATAGGATTTGGCTAGGTCGTTAAGGGTTGGCATGTTCAGATCTTTATGGAGGTTTTTATTGGTAACATACCAAGGGGCAGAGGTTATAAGGCGTAGGCATATGGACTGGAATGCTTGGAGGGTTTTGGTGTTTGATGGTTTTGCTGGCCCCCATAGTTGGATGCCATAGAGCCAAGCCGGGCGGATTATCGATTTGTATATCGTAAGTTTGTTGGTTAAGGAAAGTTTTGATTTTAATAGGGGTCTCAAAAGATGAAGTCTGGAGTTCACTGATTTACGTTTTTGTTTAATATGCGAGCTTCAGTTGAGGCGTTTGTCCAGTATTAGCCATAGGTATTTTACTTCGTCTGACGAAGGAATTACTATGTTGTTAAATGTGACGGGAGGGCAAACGTATTTGCGCAATGTAAAAGTTACATGAATAGACTTCGTTTCATTTATTTTTATTTTCCACCGTTTTGTCCATAGATTTATCATGTTAAGGTGACTTTGGATCATCCGACAAGCGGTTGCGGAATCCTGGTGTGATGCTGAAATTAGTGTGTCATCGGCATATGTTCCAAGAAAAGTGAAGGGTGTTTTGGGGATGTCGTGAGTGAACACAGAATATAGAAAGGGAGCGATATCACTACCTTGGGGGACACCTGCGCTAATGCGATGGCTGGTTGAATAGCTATTTTTTAGACGAACCTTAAAGGAGCGATCAGATAGGTAGGATTTTATTAATAAGAAATAAGGTGCTGGGAGAAACTTTTTTAGTTTGTAGAGTAGCCCCTCATGCCAGACCCGGTCGAAAGCCTGTGAGACATCCAGAAATACAGTAGGACAGAATTCTTTCTTCTCCAGTGCGTTAGAGATTTTGTCGACAGTGCGATGAAGTTGGTGGATAGTTGAGTGATGAGCTCTAAAACCGAACTGTGTGTGAGGGATGATAATAGCTTCGGTGGCAAGAGGGATGAGTCTTTTTAAGAGAATTTTTTCGAATATTTTTGAGAGGGTAGGGAGAAGACTTATCGGTCTGTATGATGCTGGGTTTTCGGGAGGTTTATTTGGCTTGAGAATGAGTATTACGATGGAGTGCTTCCAGGAGTTTGGGAAGAAGGATAGTCTGAGTATTGCATTGTAAAGGTGAGATAAGAACACTATGGCTTTACGTGGTAGGTTTTTTTACTATATAATTCGTTATTAGGTCGTGACCTGGGGATTTTTTGGTAGGAATATTTTTGATTATGGTGTTGATTTCGTCGGGAGATGTAGGTTTGGCAGGCATGGACATCGGTAGAGGAGCATCAAGGTACTTTTCTACGATTTTTAGTTGGATATGACTGGGTTGGATATCATGAGGAGAAAAAGAGTTTTCCAGGTGTTGAGCAAAGATATTTGCTTTGTCAGAGTCGGTAATAACACATGAGTTGTCTTCGTTTCTTAAAGGAGGGGTAGGTTGATTTAGGCGGAGTAGAGATTTGGTCGCTTTCCAAAGAGATGAATTTTTTGTGGTTAGTGATTCCACATAATTATTGTAGGATTGGTTACTGTCGTGTTGGATAGCCTTTTTTATTTTGCTGTTCAATTTGTTAAGTTTGACCTTGTCGTTTGGGTACTTGAATGTTTGCCATTGGTTTCTTATGTGTGGTTGAGGCTACCGTGTTTCTGGACTTTTGAAGTTCTTTGTGTACCGCGCATCCTCTGTAGTTTGCTGGGTGGTCTTTTCCACATAGAGCGCAAGTTGCTGGGGTGTTCTTTGGTTTTTCGCACATGTCGGAGACATGAGCTTGACCACAACGGACACATCTAGGTGTACGATTGCAGTAAGTACGCGTATGCCCGTAGTTTTGGCATCTGTGGCATTGTGGTAGGTCTCGCCTGGAGTGAGGTTCTTCAATCTTGACTATTGAGTGGCATAGCGTCTTAAGCTTGAATATTTCTGGGTTGTTTGGCGCTGGGTTCAGGTCGATGTAAAAGATTAGGAGTGGATTGCTGTTTTCGTTTTTCTTCTTTATATTGGTAACGTTTCTGACCGAAAATCCAAGATCTTCGAGTTCATGAGTAATAATTTCCGTGGGCGTTGTGGGGTGTAGGTTTTTTAGTACTACTCGATAAGATTTGTCTTCCTTTGCTTGGTATGTGAAATATTCCACAGTGTTATCGTTTAATAATTTAATTACTTGACGGAAAGAATGAGGGGATTTTAGTATTAACTTAAGATTTTTGGTTGTAGTTTCGCATAAGAATTCTTCGTTGCCAACCAAACTTTTTATTTGGTTATAGAAATCTTGATAGTTGACTTTAGTAATGATAAAAATTGGTGGAGGGGTTGGTGGCTGTATGATATTTTCAGTTTGCATTTGATCATTTGCGACATCATTTTCGTTATTTGAATCTTCGCTTATGTTGTTGAGTACTTCATAGCGGTTGGGAGAGGTATATGTAAATTTGTTAAGGTTGCTGTTGTTTGCTTTAGATGTAGGTGAGTTACCTGGAGAAGACGTGTGTTTTCCTGTTTTAATTATCCAATTTGTGCTGTCAGTCGAAGTGTTCTGTATGTTTTTAGTTATGACAATTTTTAATGGATTCACTTCAGTATTTGAACCGCTCTGTATGCTGTTAGTTGCAGAGAACTGCTTGTTGATAGGTATGTTTATCTTGGGCGGCATTGCGCCGCGATGTTATCTACGGTACCAAGGTCGCGTGCGAGCACGGTGCCTGGAACCGTACGCTTGATAGTTAATCGATCTAATTAGTTTGAACCATGCGCTTAATAGATTATCGATCTAATTAGTTTTAACACTTATTTTACCGTGTAGGATTTCGTTTACGGTCGATTTGAATTAGAGTTTTATGCAAGTGCGTGGATTAACTTCCTTTAGATTTTGAGCTAAGTTAGAATAAAGTCGGTTACGAATTGCACTAGGTAGTGTACGCATAGCGCGGAGCAATTAACAACGATGTGAATTGCTACGCTGGCCGCGGTCAAAAAAATTATAATCTTATTGAACGAATCACAATTTATGGAGGCTCTACTGCATGCGCTAACAGTACAACACTGATTCTTATACAGACAGCAAGATACGGAAGGTGCTCGCTCAGCTCAGAACTGTCTCTAGTAAATGTCTTCAAACCCGTGGGACCATAACACTCTACCCGTTTACAATAATAAACGCTTACTTACTAACTCATATTTACTGAATAAAACTGTTTACAGAAGTTCACAACATAATATTACAGTTACATATTATTATGTGTAATAGTAAGTAACCATTTACGCACTTTATATTCAACATAAAACTGAGATATATGTATTATTAAAATATATTTTAGTTGATTACCTTTATTGTTAATATATACCACGTTAAATTAATATAAGTACCAAATACTGATGAAACTTAAATAAATTAATTAAAACTTTATTTCAAGTTTAAAAAGTAAATTGTAAATAAAATAAGGCCCGTGAACATTTTTTATTGGTTTTTGGCCCTTGAAAACAAAATGGTTGCTAACCCCTGATGTAAATAATTTATCAATTTTCTGTAAGGAGTAAAACATTAAAAGTTTTTTTTACATTTTTGAAGTGTGGATAGATTGAAGTAAAAGAACATGTTAAGATTAATAAGATTGATGGTTGTCTTTAATGCTCGCCGTGGAAAATATTATAAAAAATTGGGAACTAATAAAATCCTATTAATTCTTATCCTTGGAAAAATTATCTTCTTATATATTAATATATATACTATATGGTGGATGGTGATGATCAATTATAGTATTAAACAAAGATAATTTAATTTTTGGAAATATGAGTTTTTGAGACTATACATTAGCTATTACTTGAATAAGATTTAATAGAGATAAAATATTAATAATGAATAAATATTTTTATTTTTCAAAAGTATAGATGAATACAAATTATTAAATTTTAATATTATGATATGAAAAGCTTAAAAGAGACGAAAATTGTCGAGAGTAAGATTGAGAATTGTGAATGACATATAAATCAACGACGTATAAAATGTCATTGACGACACTATTCGAATATTTCTAATACCGTTGATCTGTTAAATTTTGACAATGTCGTTTGTAGACTTAGGTTTTACCCATGGTGATAATAAATAACAATATGATCAATGGACCATATTATGATTTTGGTTTTATCCATACAATACAATCAATTTTGATATCTAGATACTTTTGACCTACTTGTTATTATATAGTATTATACATTTAAAATTTTTTTATTGAAATTAAAAATGGTATTTTGAAAACATAATTTTATACATAAAATGAAATTATTACGTACTGTTTATAGATATTATATACATAAAATTATAATAATAATATTACTATATAATATTTATAGCTTATACGTCATTCTTATCGTTTTTTTAACATAGTTTTTAATTCTAAATTACTAAATACTAAACAATTTCAATGGTAAATTAAAGTGCACGAAAATAGATTGTCACCAGAAATGGTTTGTCTACTCCAGTAAAAACACATAATAATATGTTGTGCTATTATTTCATATCACTGTTAAAATAATTTATTTTACTTTTAGAATTACATTAGGCTGAATCAATGTTTTTCCGTAAACGTTGCTCTTAAAAATTATATTTTGTGTTTAAATACACACATTTTTTTTTCAAAACGAATAATATCTGTAAATAGCAACAATATAATGAAAATTATTATTAATGATTACAACATCTTTTTAATATACAATAATAATAATAATAAATAGTCTAAAACGGAACCAGACAAATAATGAATTTATTTTGTTTATCATCAGTGTTGGGAATAGATTAATAATAATTTATCCAGATAAATATTAGATAATTTCATTGATTTTGCAAATATTAAAAATAAAAAATGTTAAATTTATAGAATAATAAAAATATTGGTTCATTGGTTATTTTTAATCATTAAACAAATACTTTTCTAAAAATGATTCAATTACTCATAAAATGTTTAATATCTTTATTTAAAATGGTTTTCTATTTAATATATTTAAAATAAATACTAAATAAATATTTAATTGTACCTATTGCCCTATTTTAGGTCTTCTCTAAGTAATTATAAAATATTCAGTTTTTTAAATCATACTAATTCTTATATTATAGTGGTTTTTTCAAATTTTATTTTTAAATGAGGAGTTGTTATTTAAAAATAATAATGTTTAAAAACTTAAAAGTTAAAACTACACGATTACATAATTTAAATTGAATTAAATAAAAAATATACAAAAATACCATTAGAATCAATAGAATCCATTTTAATTTCCGTTTCAGACGTTTCAGAATCAATTTCAAGTTCGATGCACTCAATTGCATAATTCTCGGCATTATTCGTTTCCAAATTAATATCTTCATTTTTATTAACTAAATTCCAGAAAAAAACAAAAACAAAAAAAAAATCTATAACGGCTCGTATACCTATAACCAACCCTACATGCTATGTATAGGTACCTACTCGTATTACCTATATGGCTACATACAATTTAAAATAAAATCACTGATTTATGGTAGCAATAAAATTTAAATGTAATACAATATACTTAGTTACGGAACTTATATTAGATTCTAATAAAAAACTGTTATATTTGGTTTTATTTGAGTAGTATTTATACAATATTAAAAATTTGATTAACATTAAAATCCACCTTATAATAAAGGACTCCTCTGAATACTTTGGGTGGGCCAGCCTACGGCCGGACACATATTAGAGTGAGCAAGGTACACCCTGCCCCCCACACGTAGCTACGTGACTGATAATTATGTAATAATAATATTACCTACTATATTATATTTATAGTTTAAACATTGTTATCGTTTTCTTAACCTAGGTTTATAATATTTTATTATAAATTAATGAAATACAATTTTTACTATCTTTTACTTTTTATTTTTGTACAATTTTATAATAGTTATATTTAATAAAAGTATTAATGTATATAATATTTGTTTTTGTAGACGACACAGGTAATTATTTAAGGCCCGGTTTCACCACTAAGAGTTAAAAAGCGAGTTATCGATAACTCGGAGTTAGCGCAAAAATGTAATTTCACCATCTAGGGTTAAGTGATAACTTCAAGTTAATGAAAATCTTTACTCCCAGATTTTAACCCTCGATTATTCTAGGTAATAATGACCTAACTCCAAGTTACGACCACGATATCAGCCGCGTTGTCGTGGGAGGGATTGTTTATATGATAATAAATTATTAACAATATTGTAATCATGTAGATAACATGTAGAATTTTATAAGTTTGGCGCTGTTTTTTTCTTCGGATTTTTTACTTCAACGTTTTCATAGTTTCTACATAGGGCATTTTTAAAACAAGAGTTCAAATAAAATAGAATGTATCGTCGAATACTATACGATAACGATGACGATGATGAAGAGATTATTGATATGCAACGTCGACCTCGGATATTTTATGAAAGAGTCAACTATTGTGAACTGTATGACGATCATGATTTTATAAATCGATTTCGTATTTCAAAAGCTACGTTTAGTATGGTCTTGAGATTGATAGAAAATGAAATATCACCTCCTTCTCAAAGGTAAGTAGCTTTTAATACAATTTGAAAACAGTTGTTGCATGAAAAACAGTGATACTGTTGGAGACAACAACATCTATTGTTATATTACACTAAAGTGTGGATATGCATAGGAGTATCAAGGTGTGTAACTTTTTTTTTAACTATGGGTCGGATGGACGGGGATTAACTGACAATTTATAATATTGCTATGATGACAGGATGGTCCTAACTTGTATACCAACTATCTTGTAAGGTCAGCTTAATCAGTCGTCCAATGAGATCAATATAATATGTAATAATAACTAATTATTTTAAAGTTTTTATCTTATTTATTAAAGATATTGTTGTTGTCGTCGAATAACCAACAATATGAAAATCCTTCAACTTTATGTAAAAGTTGTTTTTGCTGTGATTTTTTCTTCTACCTACGGTATTACTATTTTTGTTTCAGAAACAGAGCAATATTGGCACCTTGTAAGCTGTACATGGTACTCAGGTATCTTGCTACAGGTTCTTTTTTGTTAGCTATTTCTGACTTTGTTGGAGTTAGTGAATCATCAGCCTGTCGTTACATTCACCAAACATGTAGAGCCATAGCAAAGCAAAAACAAAAATTCTTGTCGTTCCCAATGAATGATGTTGATACAAAAAGAGTAGTTACTGGGTTTTACAGCCGAAGTAGATTTCCCAGAGTAATAGGAGCTATAGACTGTACCCATATAAAAATTCAGTCACCAGGTATAAATAAAATATAATACTACTGTCACCAACTATATTCCTTTTTATGCAACTATGATTCAATGTAACTTTTATAGGTGGAGATAATGGGGAAACCTTCAGAAATAGGAAAGGTTTTTTTTCTATCAATGTCCAATGCATTTGTAATCCATGGCTCAAAATTATAAACATAGTTGCTCGATGGCCAGGGTCATGCCATGATCAAACCATTTTTGACAATTCTTTAATAAAACATAAATTTGAAACAGGACTCATAAAAGGATATCTCTTAGGTGACGGTGGGTATGAAGTGAAGCCCTACCTTATGACTCCTCTGCTGACCCCTAGGACACAAAACGAGCAGTTGTACAATGAAAGTCACATCAGGACTAGAAATGTTATTGAAAGGTAAATATTACTTGGTTGAAGATGGTGGGATAGATTTAAATGTAATTTGTGATTATCATATGTACCTGTTGTATCTAACCAATGTTTTTTTTATCATGGGTAAGAAATTAATGTTATTTATTACAATATTATAGATGTTTTGGAGTTTTAAAACGAAGATTCCCAGTACTCAGCAAAGGAATTACAGTTAATTTGAGTAACACCCAAGCAATAATAGTGGCATGTGCTGTTTTGCATAATATCTGTATTGATATGCATGATGAAGTTCCAAATGATTTGTGTGAAGACAACTATGATGAAAATGTCAGAGAAGAAGACTTTTTCGATTTGCCAGGAAATACAAGAGGTAGGCAAGAAAGAGATCGGTTGATCAGGGACCACTTTGCCAATTTACAGTGAGGTTGAACAGTTATATGGTAAGTAAATAGAAATTAAAGTTATGATTTAGGAACTTCATTTTAATTATTTATAATGATTTGAAAATAACAGTAACAAAAACAAATAATAATATTAACAGAAGTAATAACAATATTAATAAAATGCTTAAGGTAATTTATGTAGCAACAAATAACGAAAAAAAAATAATAATAATAACTTTTACCTTTTAAATGTATACATAATTTATGTAGCAACACACTTTTAAGTTCTAGCTAAAAAAAAAAACTTAATGTTTTGTACTATTTAATTTTGTTTTAAGAAGTTCTATTTCTAATTTCATTTTCTCTTCTTTTAAGATAGCATTCCTTTTTCGAACATCATTTATTCCAATCTCCTGCTCCAACGCTTTTATTTGTAAGCCTACTAATTTGTCCTTTTGCTGCAAGAGGTTTGTTGCCTCGGCGGATCGGCTTTTGAAATGTTTTTCTAAAATATAATAAGTATATATTATACAAATGCTGAATAGAATAAATTCAAACATGCAAAACTCACTATTTTTTCTGAGGGGAGTACTTTTAGCATGTTTTATATGTTGAGGAGTTACCACGTCCCATTGGCTGACACTTGCACCTGAGAAAATGATATATAATTAAAAAGATTCTTGTACCTAATATATTTATTTGTATTATTGTATAAATATAAAATTAAAAAAAAAAAGGCTATTATATTAGTTACTAGGTATATCTATATCTATGTTTTCTTTCCTGAATGGTTCTGGAAAAACAAAAGCATATTCATGAATAATTAAATTGCTATTTAAATTAAAATCGTAATTAAGAATAAGATTATAATAATAATAGATATTGTAAATATTGAAATTATGTTTAATATAATTATTGTACCTATTTAAAAATCAAATAAACTATTATGTATGTTATACGTATTATTTGTATTAATAAAATATTGTTTTAAATATAATGTTTGTTTTGTTATGTTAATTAAATATACAATTTGATATTATCATCATGAATGAGGTTGGTCGGTAATAATCAAAATATAATATGAGAAAAAAGCTTGAAAAGGTACCAGGCAATACCTACACACAATATGCAACGTTTGGAAACTTACTTTGTTTATTGGTTAAAGTTGATCGTATGGAGTCCTCAGTTAAATCAGGCATCACTGAAAATGTTAAAATGTTAAATTATTTAAATTATAAATATATGTATAATGTATATATTATGTAATATGTATTGTATATGCATCAATGTTAATATAATTTATTCTGCAGCAAATAAGATGTTTTTAATTAAAACTATTTAGCTAAAATTATTTAAAACATAACACTGTTAGAATCTTAAAGAATTTTTTTAAAAGACTAATTAAATGTAATATGGTCTTACCAGTCACATAGTATGTTTCGTTGTCCTTGTCTTCATAGTACCCATCATTGTCCATTAATTCATTGTCTGAATGTTGAATAGGTATTGTCAGTATAGGAACATAAGACAAAAAGTATAAGAAAATATACAACATTTTAATAAGCTGTCCAGCAACTATTTTGTAGTATAAAATAATTTGAGCTTACCGTTAACTAAATTATCAGTACTGATGGCTTCAGTATCATCGTCGAATTCGGATTGGAGACCATCTACAGACAATTGAATTATGCTTTTCAGCTTCTCTTCCCTAAGATTAAGGGCTTGGGAAAGGTCTTTTCCACCACCTGTTTTTAGATGTTCAAATCTTAAATATAAGGAAAGAAAATATGAATAATATCAATAAGACATTGGAATCGTCACAAATGAAATCATGATCACACTAACCTTATTGATGCACTTTTTTTCCTAACAACTTTTTTTAAATTTTTGTATTTTAACTGCAGCTGTGCACAACTTCGTGCCACCAACACTCCTTGACTATTAAACTCTTCTGAAATCTTCCTCCAACATTCCTCTTTTTCCTTCCACATCACCATATCTGTTTTTTTATTTTCTACTATGTTTTGGTACTTTTTTACCAACTCCACAAGTAGTTCTTCCTCCGTAGCACTGAAGTTAACGTTTCTTTTACGCTTATCCATAGTTAAAAACAGTAGAAACACAAACAGTAAACGTAAGCATAAAAAGTACAGAAAACAGAATACAACAAAATACCGCAGTAAAGTTATGAATTTATGATCATGCGAAAAAATAGTAGATATTAGATAATAGATACGCGAAAATGCGGAATTGTTATCAACGTTATCTCCAAAAACCTGGAAGAAATACTGTTGGAACGAGGTTAATTCGGATTAACTAACTCCTACCAAAAAACCTATGGTGAAACTGAAACAATGCTAACTCAAAGTTAGACGGTAACTCAGGATTAACTAATTCGCACTTTAACTCGTACATGGTGAAACTGGGCCTAAGAGTTTTATAATTTTATTAGCTCTTTTGAGTTAAGGTTTCGTTAAAGAAGTTAGCTGTAGTCCATATATGTATAGGGTATCGTTTACCATTCCGACCTTGATTTACGTAATAGCCAATTACTGCTCCTCGGTTTGTCCTTATATTTAATTGATAGTTGATGTCTTCAGATCTTCCACAGATCCTTCTTGCCTAGTTATTACATTTACACTGTCATCGACATATATTATCTCATCTTCCTCCTTGGTTATCACTATTTTGTCCGCGTATTTATGTATTTACTCACGACTACCCATTTCGTTTTCAAACTGAAAACTAGCACTCCATTGAGAAGCCACATACAGGAGTTAATTATAGCATTGTAACTCTTTTTTTCCACGATTTGTTAAATTATGTTAACGTAACAACGTAACCACTGTATTATGGTCTTATTACTCACATTGATATACGTTTCTTAAAACTTAGCTATTTTTCGAGATATTTTGTATTATTTTAAAGTATTTTCTGGGATTACAATTTTTAGTTTTTATGGTTTTATTTGCCAATGTCTTAGGTAACAACATTTTGAGTTCATGACCACAAATCCAAATTGTGATTAATGTCAACGACCATGCTAGCTCAAGAATTGAATAAAGGTTAGATGTGCCATCTTTAGTATAATTTTACGTGGATCTAGTTTAAATTACAATGATTACGTCGATAACTCTCTCTTCTTTCGATGGTTGGGGCCGTAGATGTATCTAAGTAGTTAAATATGTTTCACATTGGTTTTACGTAACTTAAGGTTTATGATAAATTATGGAACCCAACGAATCATCGCCTTTACTCCTCGTGTTTAACCACCTATGATACGGGTAGTATTGGAGAATTCAGATTTTGTTTGTTCATTTTTGTCATTTAATGACTCCTCATTATTCTTTCGTGATACCGTATTGGGTGGCATTTGCCGCCACATAAATTAGGTTAAATGCACACAAAGTTTTATGGGCAATTTGAATCACACTATGGGATTGTATCTTATCGTATCGCGAAAATCCCACAGATTTAATTTATCTTTCAGTACACCAAACTCATTATTTGATAATTTTCTGTTTTCGCCTAGAACCTGTCCAACTTACGTCTTAGAACTTTTTTTAGTAGTTTACTTGTTACATGATAATTAATTAGAACAATTTGCTCTTATCGTTCGTCCGAAAAATAGTCTTCTACCAGACAGTGAATGAATACATTAGCTATCTTTGTTAGATATTTCAGCGTGATTTCTTTTAACACAACGTTTTGAACCCTTGAACAGGCTTCCGATCGTTTCCCATATTATACGTTCTGTTAGAATTCATCCCGGGATTACTCATCCCATATAATACCGTATCTTTCATGATAGCCTGTATGGGTTGTAGTCAACAGTTTGACATAATTATTTCTAGTTTCTCCTTTAATCTCTTCTCTTCTCGTTCCTTAGTTTATTTAACGTATCTCATGCCGAAATTATTTCTGGCCTACTAATTTTAGATCTACCGTATCTTCCTGGTGTGTTCAAATAGTATTATGGCAAAGAACTACTATTTCAGGGGGTAGAGTTTTTATTCACAATTCAATAACATTTTAACTTTTAATGAATTATATTTTAATTATTTTATAACTAATCTTTTAAGGGAACTACAGTAAGTTAAATTTCAATAATATTGTTCTAATATGTTTTATAAGACTTACCCCAATTAATTATTTTAATTATTTTAACTATAAATACAAAAAACTCATTCCTATATTATGTTTTTATTTTATATAGAAGAATTAAAGCGTATGTTGTTTTTATGTTTTTACATTTTAATTATTTAACGTGTTTTAAAATATTAGTGATACATTTCTCTTAATTTATTTTATCAATTTTTACTATAACTGTTGTCATTTGATTTATCTAAATGTAAGAAACATATAAATTAAAGAAATCAAATGTGTCGCATTTAATGTTATAATATTATATTTGGAAGTCGTAATTAAATAGTTGCCACCAATTTTATATTTATTTTAAGTATAGTTTTTATATTATTTATACATACCATATACAATTTTAACCAAGTTACTTGTATTGTATATTATCATGCGTATTTCATGTTTTAAAGCTACTATTGGCTTCACAAGAACGTCAAAATAACTTATTAATATTTTAAGTTTAAAATATGAATTTTTTTTATCAATTACATATTATAAATTTTTATTTATTTTTCAGAGAGGATTAGTATGTTATTTTTTATTTTGTTAAAATATATTATTTTATTCTGATCGAGATTTTAAGTTTGTTTTGTAATATTAGTTAATCCTTAAATTTGTCTCAGTAATTTTTGTTTTATATAAAATAATATTAGTGTTTAGAAAATTAAAGAACGTATTACTCAATAAGTATAAGTTCTTGTATTCTTTAAAAACTCCACAATCTTTACACGTGTTTAAATTTAAAACTTAAATTACTGTTATTTAAATGTTTTTATAATAATATTAAAAAATAAAATCATAAACCTGTCAAAATTTAAATGGGTGAAATAAAAATTATGGAATTTTTAAAAATACTTTTAAATATACTTGTAGTAATAATATAATCTATGTTTATAATTAATACAAAAACATAAAAATTATTATATTGATGTGGAGAAAACAAAAAAGGGTTCCATATTTATCACCATAGTAAATTTTATATTATATTTTATTAAGATTGTATTAATACTACTATATTATTTATATATTTTTCATAGATCTAATTTGTGAGTATTTTTCATGTTTGTTGCAATATTTTACTGTTTAAACCATAGACCTTATACTCATAGACGGAGCATCCAGGTGGGATGCGGGTGGGTGGTGCGGTCATTTCTAGCTTGCCAACAGTGATGCCATTCCTTGAGATCAAAAACATTGTTATTAACACTTACCATATAATTTGTTTTGTGGTGTCTGAATTTGAAATTTGAGTTTTTTGCAACATATTTATACATATTTCCTACTTTGCATATTTTTTTTAATTTATAAATTTTTCTGTATATTTTATATTTTTATATATTCTTTTAAATATTATATATTTATATACCTTAATATGTACTTTCATTCAATATTATTTACACAATAAACCATATTTTTATATGTATAAAAAATAAATAAATATTATTAATGATAAACAAAAATACCATTAAAATTCAATACATTGATATTATATAATAGTTTTTATTGCCATCATTTAAATTAATGCAAATCAAAGACAAAAACCACTATAAGTATATTATACCTAATCTAAGAAAAATAAATTAATGGTGATAGATTTATTGATATAGGTATTTGATTTTAAGCACATAAAGTACCAAACCCTATTAATTGTTATAAATCTTAGTCTAGAACAGATTCTAGACTTAATATATATTTATCTGTGGTCTAGACCAAGTAATAATTTTAAGAGGTATACACATGCTATCCATAATAGGTATTTGATTTATTTTATTATAATTGATTACATAGTATTTTAAGTATTTAAAACATATGTTAGGGCTAACATTTTTTCTTAGTACCTACTCATTTCGAAATAAAACAATATTTGTAAATTTTTTCCTTATAGAAATGTTATTTTTCCTTTCTGTTGACGCAGCAGCATGGTGAAAACGAATGTTTAAATAAATGAGAATAGCCAGACTTATTATTTGATCTCTGTGCGTGTTAAACAATTGTTGGCCTCTACAGTGGTCATTTAATTCATTAAAAATATTTGGTTTCTGGTATATTGTGTTTTTGATCTTATTAAACATTTTGTGCTTGATATTTGGTAAAAAAACATTAAATGATCGAAAAGTTCTTTCTGCTTCGAGACATATTTCTACAATATCCTGACTGGGTTTTATCAAAGCGTTATTTCTATCTTTTACCTCTATTAATTTAAAATTATGATTCGAGCTATCAATCAAAAATGGGTGACATATATTACAAGTTATTTTATTTTTTATTTTTTTCACCACAAAACCAGCAATATAACTTGTAACCTCATCTAAAAATGATGTCAGTCTACTTAATGATTGTATATAATCATGATCTTGTTGAACTGTACTTGGATCTTCTTCAGTATCATTATTTATAATACAATCTGGCCCTATGTTTACCACAGACATTTGTGTGCTATCAAGTATTGCAACACAATTCCCATACTGCGAACCAGTAATTTCACTATGGACTAATAGTTTTTTATAAGCCGATTTAAATTGTTTACAAGATGGGTTGTTGTTAAACCCACCTCTTTGTCTTACTGAACTAAAAAATGTCTCTATATGGTCTTGAGACAGTTTATAAGACAATAAGTAAGCAAGAGAATATTTTTTTTGTAGACAAGTATATAATTTTAATACATTATGTAATGCTTTTATAAGTCCAACAAAACCAGTTTTTCTACCAGATTCTATCACGGTTTTACCGTTGGGTAATCTTAAACCTAATACATAATTATGAAATTTCCTGCTAAATTTTTCATATTTATCAAATTGTTTTTCATCAAGTGCCAGGCAGTAAGGATTTTTAGAATATTTACTTCTGCAATTAAGTATATCAAATGCATCATTCATTAGGAAACAAAACTCTGATGTAGCATCAATATCTCTAAAATCATCACATCCTAAAGATTTGCAAAATTTCAGACCATTACCAACACTATTACTCAACACTTGTGTTGCTAACTTGACATTAATTTTTTCATTATAATAATATACGTGTTTATTTGTCAATTTTGTTGCTGCTTTTAAGCCTTCATTCTTTTCTTTGAAATATAACATCTTAATATGGTCCCAACTTATTTTCTTTCCTTCTTGATTAAATAGATACCCCATATCTCCTAAAGTGTTTCTAATCAACTTAATCATATGGCAAGGATCATAAAAAATATAAATGGACTCGTTATTATAGGGATTGTTAAAGCTAAAACTTAATTCGTCCTTTAAATCAAATGAAGCACCCAAAATTGAACACATTTTACCATTACTGTAAGCTCCATCAAAAGTAATTGAATGGACTTTGGCACCCGTATCACCCATGAGAATTAAACACTGTTTTAATAAATTACTACGTTCTGTTCCATTTAAGCCAGCTACAAGAAAATAACCTATTGGCATTTTCCAGTGTCCATTTATTCCTACAGCCATAAAAACGAGTGCATTTTTAGCAGGAACCGAGTTATCATTCTCTGTGTCAATATTAGTGCCCATATCAACAAAGCCATGCATTTTTGTTCCATCCCATTGAATTTTTTCCCTTATGCTCATCTCATCCAAAACAATGTTGCAAATAACAGTTTCATTCTTTGCTTTCTCTTGTATACACAGTGTGACCATATTTAAAAAACCAAATTCCGCCACTAATGAGAATAAAAAGCGCTACGATAGCGCCACGGTTATTATCACTGTTATCACTTATCATTTGTTGTTATCGTTCTAAGACCGTGGTTATAGGTAACATGTAAAGAAATAAATTAGTAAAAATCACGTCATTATTATAATATAAAATTTAAAATGTTAAAATACAAATACAAATAAGTAGTAGTCAAAAAATTATCAATTCAACACAAATTACGTCATATCAATTCTGGTATAAAAGTTATAAAAAAAACGAACAAAACAATTATTATTATTTATTTGTGTTTAATTAGTATCAGATCCATGGTCAGTTTCATCAGATTCATCTTCGTCGTTATACATGTGTTGGTTAAATTTTTTGAGATGTTGCTCGGTTATAGTTGTAGTAAGGCAACACATGTTTTTATTAGACATATCTAACTTTATTCTTAATAAAGCTTTAACAGTACTTGGTTTAAGTTGGTTTCTTTTTTTTGTCTTTATATCTGCCATCATAGAGAAAATTCTTTCAACACTGGCATTACCATGAGGCAAACACAATACATTCAATGCTAATTCAGCTATGTTCTTAAAAATGCCACAATCATTAAAGTTTTTAATCTCATATATGTAATTCCAAAACTGTAATACATCAGTAGGTAATTCAGTTTTCTCAGAATCTGAAAAGTAATTTTTTATCTGACCTAATTCATTTAAAATAACTTCTTTCTTATTTAGGTAGTTCAATGATTTTATGGTGCAATCTAGTGTGATATTAGACTTTGTAAGTACAATTTTTGGATCAACAAATCTAAATTCTTTATACAGAGTATGTATTGGAAGACGTTTTAAACTATCTTCAACTACTTTTTGGTAAAAAAATATAATTACGTTCATAAATTTATTATAATTTGCATCGTTTTTACAACTGGTTAATATTTTTCTAGCTTCATGGCCAATTTCAATATCATTGTTGGGAAGTATCATTGAAGGATTTTTAAACTTGTCAAATTCATCATTTTTGTAACATTCTGCCTTTAAAAATTTTGAACACATTATACGCAGAAATCTAACACTTTCCTCGTAAAGAATAAATACTAGAGGTTTTTCAGACTGAAATAAAGCGTTAAAAGTATTGAAAACAGGAAGAATAAAATGCAAAAAACATAAGTAAGCTTTAGTGTATGGATTTTGTAGTTCCTGGTATATGACATTTGCAGCTGGATTCTTTTCTTCTACATAGGCTAATCGGAATAAATCATTAAGTATTCTCCACTGGCTTAATACTCTTTCAACACATTTATCTAGTGCCAACCATCTGGTTTGACTTGGACTTAGTATTTTCAATTGAGATTCATTCAAAAACCTTTGCAATTCTTTCAAGACAGATTGTCTTTTTGGACTTCGAGAAAAATAAGAAGAAATGTTTTGTAATAAAATTTCAATATTACTTGGGATACAAGAAGCTGCTGAAGAAGCTATCAAATGGAAAGAATGGCATATGCATCCATTTACAATTATATTTGAATTATCATTTAATAAGTGAACTTTAAAGGACTCTTTGGAACCCATCATAACGGATGCATTATCAGCACAATATCCTATAATGTTATCTGTACTTAGTTTTAGTTTGTCTAAACTCTTGGAAAACAACATGTAGAGGCCCTTAGCAGTTCCATGGTTAGCATCAACAGGAACCAAATCTAGCAAATGTGTTTGAATTTGATTGTTTGAAATATATTTTACCAATATTGCCAAAACTTTAATATTGGCAATGTCTGTTGTCTCATCAAGGTATACAGAAAACTTTTTATTCTCTATTTCTTTCACTATATTATCTTCAACAACACTTGCAAGAACATTTTTAATTAATTTAATACATTTGGTACGCTTTAAAGAAATCTGTTTGGAAATTTTTGAATCATTCATTATAAGACTAGGCAATTGAGATAAGTGATCAATACTTCTGAAGCTCAAATTATGACATGCTACAAAATGAGCTAGCATAAGTTCTGTCTTTTGTACTTGGGTACGCATTTTAACTATTTCAGAGTCAGGTCTAAACTCTAATTTAGTTACATTCTTTAAACTTGATACTGACCTGATATGTCTTTGTGATTCACTATGTCTTATTATATCAGACTTTTTAGTACCAAAAATTAGGTTGCAGGCTATACAAGAAGCCTTGGATGGTTGATCAGGAATCGCCCTTAACCAGCCTTTAAAACGATCATCCTCAAGCCAGGAATCAGAAAATAATTGTTTTCGTACATTTTTGGATTTTTCATTCATTGTTAATTCACCTCTGTATTGCCTTTTGTATTTTGGTGTAAGTTCTGTATCGTTTTCTTCTTCATCACAATGACGTTTTGAAGAACTAGGTCTTTCAAAATCCTGTCATTAAAAATACATGTATATAAAACATATCAAAAATAAATAAACAAACGTAAAAAAAATAAACATACCAAAGAAGTTGATTGATTTAAAAATTTGTCCATGTCGAAACTTATTATATTTTAATTATTAAATACTAATAAAATTTCTAAGTTTCCAAAATATTTTTTGCTGGGTCAGTGTAAATAGAATTGAGTAGTTCTCATAAGAATATTCATAGTAACCTATAGAATATGGGAACATGGCAATGGACTTTGGACATATTAGATGGATCAGATGACAGATACATATACAGCTAAATATATTGTCTAATTGTCTATTGATTTCCATTGGAAATATCACAGTACATTGTTATTTTAGGAACTATCAATTTTCAGTACCAATAAACCACCAAAGATTTTAATAGTATACAGCCAATCTATAATATTTGGGAACTATGATTAATTGTATTTGTAATGTTTGTATTTATTGTAAAAAATACCTAATAATTATAATATTATTTAAATTTATGCGGGAAATGTTGGTAAATTATCATATTATGCATGGAACCTTATATTATCTTAAACCGTGATTTACCAATTTAATGTTTATAAACATAGATAGTATATTATATATCATCTATGGTTATCATACACTTTATTATCAATTTTTCTCATCGCAAAATTAAAAAAAAAAATCCCAAATTCCAATGCACTGCATCTAAGAATAAAAATAAAAATGTTCGATGTTAAGAAGTGAAATAGCGCTACGTTTTTATTTTTCACGGGAAAGGGCCGCTACGATAAATAACAATAAAAAAAGCGCTACGCGTAGCGCAATTCCGCTACACCTGGCCACACTGTGTATACATTGAAATGCTTCTTGAGTAAAACCTGGGTCCCCATTTACAACTTTATACCATTTACTTATTGTTTTGGGATGTGGAAGTACATTTTTAAAACTTTTTCTTATAAAATTATAAGCTTTATTTGAATAAAATTGTAAAGTTATGGCAAATTTCCTCATTTTTGATGTAAATGGAAGCTTTTTACCCTTTATATTAAGCTCAATTAAAGTACGCAATGATTCAGAACCAATAGACTAAATAAAAAATAAAAAATAAAAAATAAATTCAAATAATTTAACATTTATTTTTGTAAGTAAAATATCACAATGTATATACACAGTATGATTATTGAAGCATTCTCACCCAATTTAAGCATAATATAATGCCTAGTTATATGGCACTTAGGGTGAGTATGCTTAAGAGCAATGTAGTAAAAAATGTTTGAGTAATTACTCAAATACTTATAAAATTAAGTATTTAAAATACCACCCAAATACTATACACAGTAAAGTTTCTAAGTATTACTCAAATACTTTTAAAAAGAATTTAAAAAATCTTCAAATACAAAAAAAAAATTCAATTTAATTCTGAAACTATTAAAATTAGTGATAATTAGTTAGAACAAAATTTTTTTGCGGGGACTTATCATGTTGTCTTAACATGATTAATTATCTCAACATGATAAGTCCCCGCAAAAAAATCCTGTCTATACTCTATTCAGAAACCTGTCCATAACGGACACTTTTGATGGTCTTGTGACTGTCTGTTATACACAGGTTTCTCTGTAGTTTATAATAGGTTAACAATTTACCTGCAAGTGGACAGATGCATTCTCAGTTAAAAATTGCTTTTGGTGTAACTTTTGAACAAGATCATCGTACGTTTTGACTTTTTCTTTCAGTCTTTTAATTTGTTTTTTGAGATTATCATTTTGAATTTGCTTTTCTCTGTATTTGTTCTTCACCATGTCCAAATGTCTCTTTGCCTTTCTCGGAGTTCTAAAATGACTTGGTGATAAAACTCCAATTGAGTTGGCATTTAACACTTTACGTTTCACTGGACTTGTATTATCATGGTCAATATCTGAAATGAAAAAATTTTAATTAATACATTAAGACTAATGATATGTATGAAAATAATGTTTGATAATAAATATATTGATACATACTTGTACTCGTAGAAACTATGGATTCAACGCATAAGGGTTTCATAGGATGTGAGAGTACGGGATTTTTACGGTCCCAATAAACCACCCATGAGTAAAGGGGAACACTTTACTCACGACCTGTGAGCCGCACCGCGTGATGACCCAAGGGCCAAGTCGTTGGAACTCACAGGCTTTGATACACACAGTGACGAATGAACGTCAAAGATTTATTTAAAGAAGAAAAAAAATATAATATCAATAAATAATGAGAATATAGAATATTAGGGTGATCACGTGGGTATAATTTAATGTTTAACATAATGGAATTAATAATTTAATGTGGCTCTCGCACACAGAATTACAATAGTTTGATAATAAAAGGGAGCATACTGTTTTAGTATAATTCCGGGAGGCACCTGACAAACATTAGGAATAATATAATATGAGGAAACAACGAATCTTCGGATCGGCCCGCGAGGTTCGACGGACTGTGAAGATGATATTTTATTATGTTACCTCGCCGACCGTTGGGTTACCGTCCGGCATATCGCTAAGGACGGTAAATACGGGAGAGAGAAAAAGAAAAAAAAAACAGGCCTATTAAATAATATGCATATTAGAGAACAATATAATAAGGGTTTTGGGGGGAACATGGATTTTCGGAGAGATATATTACGCAATTGACGTGACCTCCACGCTGATGACTGGAGTTGTTGATGTGATTGATTGACGGCTGTGGTAGGCTGGTCGGGTGACCGTCGACACACATACACGTGATCGACATGGCCCACCGGCGTCAATCACTGGTAGGACGGCGGCTTCTCCCACATCGGGCCCGCGTTAGTGTTTAGCCCCTCATGGCGGACGTTACAGCGTTGACGTAAATGAAAAAATAATAACAATAAAAAAAGACTTTGTCTTTTCGGTCGGACGTTCGACCACGAGGGTGAGCGAGCCAAAAAGAAAAGAAACGGTAAACAGCTGAGACGTTGATGTCTGGTTCAGTCAGAAAAAATGAGTGATGACCGCTGGCCGACGGCGTCCGGTCGCTGGTCGGTGTTGTCCAATTGATGTCGTAGTGGGGAAGGTCAGGGTAGGTATATTACGGGACTTTACAATACTTTGGGGTGTACGGTATAATTGCCTGCGGGCCGTACCGGCGGACGCGACGAAAGCGCTGGAGGCGACGGGCGGCGGACAACTGCGGCACGTCGGCGACGAACACTGCATGGTGAAGGGGGGGACGGGGAACATTAATTGCATAATACTGCGATAATTTCTGCATTAGTGCGCGATAATCATAATAATGTATAAATTAGGTACGCTTATTAGTGGCAATATGGGTACAGGTATGTTTGTATTTATAATAATATTGGTACAAAAAATACTGTGACGTTACAAGGACTTGGAGAAAGACTGGAAGTGCAGTGGTACTCCAAAGGATCAATATCTAAAATTAAAAAATTGATTTTATAAATTTAGACAGAGATGTTATGTATGCAAATAATTTTTTATAATGAATATATTATAATAAATAGATACTTATACATACCTGAACGTTTTGTAGATGAGAGGAATGGAACAGCATTATTTTTTAGATAACCGCTAGGTAGGTAATTTTCAGACAAAAAGTGATCACCACATATCTTGTAAGATGGCAAGTACAATTTCATATTACATGCTTTTAACCACAGTTGCTTCCGACCTTCATTTTTAGGAAAACTAGAATTATATAACACCAGCAATTTAATGAAAATTTAATACATTAATGTTCTAATATAAATGATTGTACTTACGAATGAAATGATTTCTCTGATTCCTTAGAATAAAATTGTTTGCAAACAACACATTTTCGGGACATTTTTACAACACAGTTAAAACTTTTAACAGTTTACAGTTTAGTAGTAGACAAAACTAGATTTATGCTTACACACCAGAATACGAATTACTGAATTACTGAATTAGTAATAAAAATTAAAATTACGAAACGATGATAGCATATCAGCTACACAGCATAATGTAAACACCAAACAGTAAATCACGGACTAAGATATACCTAGTATATCTTAGTCCGTGCAGTAAATAAGAGGCTACACAACCTGGTTTGTTGATTGAGCATGCGCAGAAGTGTTCAACAACATGTGCAGCGCACCCTATTCTCACTGCGGGAACTACTAGCAAGCTCCGTCTATGAGTATAAGGTCTATGGTTTAAACAAAAAATTGTTTTTCTATGTGAACTGACTCATTGTTTGGATAGTTACTAATTACTATTTAGTAATACATAGGCAAGCTTTTTAAATAAATAAAATACATGTTTATTTAATATAAAAACTAAATATAGCTTCTGACGATATTATTTTATTTTTTACACTAATACTAATGGTAGCTGTACTTGTAATAGAAGGAGTATTAATATCATTATTTACTTTAGTTTTTTATTTAAAAAGACTAAAAAAATCACTCTGGTGTTTTTATGACGTTATGTTTAAAATATTAGTAAATAACGATGACCGTCTAACGATAATAATATGATGCTCAATACATACACACACGACTAGGTTACTCAGCGTACGAAATAAATTTATATTTTCCAATATTTTATATATTATTTTATAAATTATTGAATAATGAAAGCCTCCTTGGTACTTTCCAACTATTTCATCTCTGTCAATAATTTCTGTCAATTTCAGACGTGACTGTTGTCAGTCTTCTGATACTGTAAATAGAACGCACATCCCATGTTCCAATTTTTAAGTTGGTTCTATGTATTCACGTTTTTCCGAGGCTTTTGTGTTGGTTATTTCTTAATAATAAATGTTTTTTCCGAGGAAGGGTTGTTAGTCCATCACTAAATTCCCGACCTTGGAAAACCATGCCCATCCAAATCAATTAAGATAAGGTGGGAGTTATTTCAGTTCAAAGAACTATGGACGATAAGTGCGCTAATTTCCCTACACTACAACTCAAGGGCTCCCTGTTCGCTTAACCCATAACATCAAGTGTAGAAAAACACACAGTGTCCCCTGGAGAAATTTAAATACATATATCCTATACATAGTATATTATTATAATGTGTACATTTTTAAAAATGAATTAAAATATTATTGTTTATTATAGATTTTAACGGTACGTATCATATATTTATTAATTTATTTATTTATTTTTGTAGATTATTAGAGTATTTCACGTGAAACGTATTTTACACTTTTGGATATTGATCAGAGAATTATGAAGAATATTCGTTTTAATTTTAAATCAGTAACAATTCTTTTATCTGCGACATTTAGAGTAGTTTTTGGCACAAAATTGAATATGGCTGATGTAATTTAAGATCAAAATTACTAAAACAGCTATACAACCTATCCTTTTTTTCCATTGTTGAACTGACAACTTCACGGGGACTGTTTGAGAATTATACTTCTATGACGCCGCAAAAACCTTAATCCCACCTAACATTTTTTGTGGACGTATCACGGTGCTGTAAGGAGGCATTTTTCACTTGGTTTCGTTCTTCCCCCTCTACCTCCTTATCATTTATTTATAAAATTACCTTTTATACTCGTTTTACAGTTGGAGTGGAACTCTACCTCTTCGATTTTCACCTTTGGTGTACATTTATCTTATCTAATAAATAGTTTGGTAGCACCATCTTGATATATGTTTTGACCGCGTTCCATTTCTTCTCATCCCCCAGCATTAATCCAATGATAGACTTCAGGGATATCTTGTTCCTTATAGGCCAAATGGTCGTCCTTTTAATCGAAACGCGAGTGGACGATGTTTTGACAAATCATTTTATTATTACACCATATCAATAGCTAGACTGCGTATTTTATGATCGTGGCTTTGCTATTAACCAGACGTTCATAAATGTTACTGTAAATCTTGTTGGATTTTTGAAGAAAATATTATAAAACACCAACAATTGGTACAACAATTTAATGATTGGATCTGTAGTGACTTCGATCACATTACAGTATGTTTGAGAAAATTCTCTCGAAGAACGCGTGAGACGTTCCGAGTATGTTCGGTAGCGTAGACTCTACTTAGGCTAACCTATTCCGTAGACCCGTAGTATATCTATGTAACAATTCTATGTTGTTAAAAATAATTATGAAATACAAAATGTTTACGAAAAACTTGATTGTTTTTATTCATAGTTTGTAGATATAGTATAAAAAAGCGGGCGCACTTAAAATCAGTGAGTTACGTGACTGTTTCACTCTAAAGACTATGTACTACACGATGGTTTTGACTGAATGATTGTTTTAAAGCACTTAGTTGGCTGAATGTAGATATTATAGTATTTTCATCATTTGATGTAATTTTAATAATTGTCAAAATTTTTAACTCATTACAAATTGTATTAATACTATTTCAAAAATCAGATACAAACTTACTTTAAGCTTTTGAATTGTGCTTAAAACGGTCTTATATAAAATAAAAGAAATGCGTGATAAATTTAAAAAAGTATTCGGGGAATCTAAACAAACAAATAATTTCGTGGTGTACAATAGTTTACTATTGGATTCATGATTCTGTCATACTTCATATAAATTATAGTGACATTCTTAATGATAAGATACTCTCATATCGTATCTAATTATCAGTTTTGTTGATTTATCGTTCCGTGCTATCAATCAAAAAGAATAGCTCTAATTATTTGTGGTAATATACTTGTAAAAATACCTGGTTGATCTCAGTTTATTACAAATAAATCCATTATTAAAGAATTGAATCTTTAAGTTCAATCAATACCAATAAATTGTATAATCTAACTTCAATTGACTATTTTGAAATCATGATAATTCATAATACTCTCAAATAATTGTTTATTTTTTATTATTATATTTGTATAAAAGTTATAATATTTTTTTATTATTTTTTTTTTTTTTTTTTTTGTAGAAAAATTAGGTACGTATTTATTATAGTTTTAAATTGATATTAAATTAGTTTACCAACTTATGCTTAATGAATAATTAATACAGCCATTATATTTATTATATTTGTGCAGTTAAGACCCATACATTTTATTTACATGATAAAATAAATTAAAGATAGCCAAAATTTAATATCTTATTATTGTTGTGTAAATAATTTAATACTAATTTCTTGTTTATAATACAATATAATTAATAGTTGTAATACTAAATTTTGTTTCCTTGGAAATATGCATCTAATGCAGACTAAACAATTCCTAACTATACTTCTACTTTAAAACTTTTTGATTCTTAACTGATATTTTTTATTTTATTAAAATAAGATATTACAATTTGGCGTTAAAATATCTCTTCTATTTAATTATTGAATATTTTTAAATTGTGGTAATTTTTATTCTAGCGTCTTCGCTCAGTAAGTAAATATAATTAGTTATTTTTTATTTTTTTCAAATTTCAAATTTATTTTCACAAAATATATATCTCTCCAATAAAATTATGATAGTTATTTCTTCACCTTTGGTTATAGTCTCATCGTGCGCGCAGACTTTAATGCTAAAAAAAATTATAAGGGGATGACATTTGAATAACTAACGAGATAATTCTACTTCAATTTTTAAAAATATTTACTACCTGCGTACCCTACCACAAATGCCGACCTATTATCTTTCGTCCAGAAAAAATAACTTCATGATGAAACTGAAATGTTTCTTTCAAAATCCTCTAATTACATCATCAATCAATTGAAAATCTACTAGACCTATGCTCAGATCACTCCACAGTACTGCCAAAAATTAGATCCTCTAGTGTCTTATTGTGTAAATAACCTTTCCCTTACAAACAGTAAAATGAATAGACTAGAGTAACTGACCCGTAAGTTAGGTTAGATAACTCCACATATGTTATCTTTCGCCAATTCCACGTTGCCCATGTGTTATCATACATGTTTGTCGTACAAATATTAAATGTACTGCACAGATTGTATAAAATTCTTTTATAAATTAACCATCTACCTACTACTTTTTTCTAGATTCCCCGGAATGTAACTTTTTTTTATTTTTATTTATAATTTTTATTAACGATATTTAGAATTTTATTTACAAATATTTTATGATAATTATTAATTATTTTTTATATGATTATAAACAGTTGCAATTGGTATGTAATAAGTTTTATTTTTTAAGAATCAATGGTATCAGATCTTATAATCTTTATCTTAAACATTATTATAATGTGTGAAGTTGAAGTAAGGAATGTATAGATTTTTCAATCATACTATTTATAGTTATTGACTATAAATTAATAAGTTATACATTGTATATATATCACACTCATAACGATATTTAATATCGTTAAATAAAATTTTAAATAAAAAAGACCTGCTAAACTGATCGACTTCCCACACATAATAATTAATAATTAAAATTAATATATTAAACTTATGGTTGGAGCATACATCATTAGAATGAAAAATCTTTTTATTACTCAAATGCTTCCATTAGACTGCAGTGGTTTCCAACTCTATAATACGCACGTACCACTTTTATAAATTTTCCACCGTCATGGACCATAACCTAATTACACCTCTTCCCCTCTTCGCATCATATTTTTCTTATTATTTTTTACTTTTATAGTTAATAATAAAATAAATAATATCATAGAAATATCAGAAATATAATTAATTTTACACTGTAGAAAACTATTTTAATTTGCATTTATTGGCATCAGAAAAATGTAGAAAAAAAGGTGATACTAATTGAAATTTTGTTATTTAATAAATATGAAAATTACATTTTACAAATTTAAATTAATTGACTGTATTAGTTTAATTTAATGTAAAAAAAAAAAATAATACAATTTTATATCAAGAAATACATTAATTAATGTGACTTATTGGCGCATGCTTCTTTAATTAGTTGTGGGATCCTTGGAACAATACTGTTACTTAATGCAAGTCGCATATCATCATTTGAATTCAGACGATTTCGTTGTTTATTTTTTATAGTTATAAGTGAAGAAAAACCTTACTCACATAAATATGTAGTTGAAAAAAACCATGAGTTTTGTATGCTGTTTGTATGCTTTTTTACACCAAAACTCTTCTAAGTTCGTATTATAATCAAACAAATTTTTCAAGTTACTGTTGTTCTGAAATTCTATTAATTCTTCTTGTATTTCATCATGAACATTCTCGACTTCGACGTTGAAAGGATTATGAATTAACTTCTTTACAGTATCAGTGACTGCTATACCATATTCTGGAAAATTCCTCTTTAAGGATTTGTAAGTATTGTAATACATTATTCTGAATATGTTCAATGAAATATTTATAGTATTTGTCATCAATAAAAATTCGCAAATTAGGAAATGCAAAAAAATTGCTCACTTGAATTTTATCAATCTAAAGATTTATTTTACTAATAAACGCGCGAATTTTATCTTCAAATACGAAAATATTTGCGGAACCTTAAAGTTTTACGTTACCAGAACCCTGAAGTTGCAAATTTAAGTGATTTAAATGAGCAAATATACATGCAAGATAAGCAATTTGCATTTTCATTGCCTGTAACCCAGCGTCATATATGGTAATTATACCAACGGACGGTCGATTGACCTGGAAAGTTATCTGGTCCTGGTCGTTCTACCTTCTAGAATATAATGTTGGCTATTGTTCACTGATAGTCATACTGCTCGCTTCATCGCTGAAAAATGTTATTTTTCCTTTTTTTAATCATCGTTTCCCGTTGTTCCGACAAACGAAAAACTGGACATATTTTGTCCCGTTTTGTAGAAGATTGTCTGTTTTAATCCCAGAATCTCATATACTATTATATTATACGAAAAAAAGAAAACGATTATATATGAAACAATATCGTATGAAACAGCTTTATATTAAAATTTAAAATCAGTTATAAATAACAGTTGTGGTGGAACGAGCACCAATTGCCAATAAATAATTTGTTGTAAATTATAGGCTCTCGTCACTCTTTCCAAAACACAACTCGTCTGCTTGATGTGTCCACGTTAATTTTCATACTGTATTCAGTATTATTAAAAACAAAAATAAAAGTTATATAATAATATATAGTAGGAACTATATTAATTAGTTTAATGAACAATCTGCACGACAACGTAGAAATGTACAAATAGTAGAGCACTAAACCGGTTTTATTCAATAATGAAACTGCCGTGTGACCTCTTGCCTGTCATATTTTCTTTTCTTTAATTGTTGTTTTTTGTTACTTTTCTTTTTATTTTAAAAATTTCAAAGGTAAGGTTAGGTGTTTGCAGTTTGAATTCACTTGTCTTAAAGATAATGTTAATAAATAAGTAAAGTGTTGTGTATGGTGTATAAGGCAGTATTTTCAATCGATCGTGGAGGTTGTTTGATAAAAAACTACATATTTTGAAAAAAAAAGAAGAAACATTTGACACAATAGCACATAAATCATTGTTTAAAGTCAATGGATTATAAATTATAATAAATCTTTAATAAAAAAAAAATTACAAGAAAAAAAGTTTACTTGAGCACGCACTAAGTGTAAATCTATTCTAAATATATTGTACCCTTTCACAATAAATCAAATAATTAACAAATAAAAAGCTGTTAATTTAAAAATAGTTCTGATCCACACTTAAAATCATAAAAGTTTATAAATTCAGCCAATTCTTATTCGATACTTCGATCCTAAAACGAGAGTTCGCATAAATTAATAAATTTATAAACTTGATATGGGAAACTTCGAAGATTTTGCCCCCTTAAATAATAGAAATTTAACAAAACAAAAATTATTTCACAAAATCATTGCATTTTTGGAGATAATTTTAATACTAATTTTGGAAGCGCTGTATGGACAGAAACAATGACCGAACGATACATACCAATGTAAAACACAGGAGTCATTTACCGAAAAACAAGATGGATGATCCACGTGGACAATGAATAGGAACAATAAAATGCATAAACCGAATAACAACATAATAATAAAAATGAGCAAGCAACACAAGATGCTGCTTCGAGAGCGCCGAAAAGAATACCAAACACAAAGGAACAATGGTACAACAGACCAAACCGAAACAAAAACTAATAAGAACATAGGAACGATATTCAGTGCCGTACGCACAACTATATAAAACAAAACAATCATTGTATATTTGGTGACATTGATACAATGACTGCACACCAGAATAATGATACCAAATAACATTTTACATAATAAAAACAAATAATACTGATAACCAACACTGATTGTGATTACCAGCTCGTGAGCGTGAACACTCAGGATAAATGCCCAACCATTTTAAAATCTTTTTTTAGCAATTATGTTTCAATCATATGGTTTTATTTTATATAAATATAATTAAAAGTCGTTTATGATACAATATTTAGAATAGAAGGATATAACACATTTACATGCGAAATATTGAAAGAATTAAAAATACTAAACGGAAAAAAATAGAAAACACTACATTTTTTAACTTGTAACGTAAACATACTGCTTTTAAAATAAAAGTTAAAAATTATACACACAAAAAAACAATTTATAGAACAAACTGATATCAATAAAATGACACATTTTTGTTGTATATTTAAAAGTGGGAAAGCCCTTTTGTCAAACTAAGATGACCCAATTAATAGATTCTCCAACATAAAATTACATTCAAGGAAGTCTAACAATAATTTTTGTAAATAACAAAAAACAAATTGACTGGAGTTTGAATGAAGGTAATTTTTTCGATGATTATAATCATGTAGTGAATGTATTATGTAACAAATGACAATTTTAAAGAATAGCAGAATAATTATATTCGTGTTGAATTAAGATTGAATAGTATTTATGTATAGAATTTAAGAAAGTTAAAATATATTCATCAATAACTTTTGGGAGATCATGGAAAATTTTTTAGCATTACTAGGAACCAATAAAACGATAGAGAGAATATTTTCTATCACAAATTTGTTATAGGTGAACAAAAATATCACTTTCTTGTACTTACTATCAAAGCAATTATAATTCTAAAAAACCATTTTAAAAATTTCTTCTGTAATGATTTTTGTGATTTATTAATTACATAACCAAAACTATTGAACGTATATAATTCATCGAAAAAAAATACGAAACAAAAGGTTTTAAACAAGAAATTACGAGCAATTTACATAAACCGAATAAGAACATTTCGAATACTTTGCTGAAGTCGCAACAAAAAGAAAATAATCTTATATCCTTTTCAAAGTATTAACTGATTAAAAATAGTTTTTATTTTCATTTCAAAATATAAAAATTATTAGAAAATATGTGAAGGTCTTTTTTTTTAAGTTAACCTAAAACTGTAAGTCCCGTTTTTTATTTTAAAAAAACATGGTCATCTTATAAAAGATCAAACATTTTAGGTTATCCGTACCACACCACTCTGCTTAATTCTTAGATTTATCATACGAGATTGTACTGAGTATAAATTAAATACGTCGATTAAATCTCTGTACCGTGCCTGATACCTCCTTCGTATCAAGCCCCGAGCCGGCTGAATACGCGCACGTGTTTCACTCGAAGGATGGTCTTGCCCCCAATAGCTCAATGGCAGTAAAATAGGTTATTTTGGTTACTAATACGTTCAATATTATTAGTATGGTTATTATTCTTTCAACAGCCGTAGTGTTTACAGACGGTATTATTAATTATTATCATATAATTACACAATATTATTAAGGGTGTTTCATAAAGAACGCAGTTTTTAAAACGCTGGGTAATTTTTTGTTGTTGGGTTGGTGGCACTATTCTTTTTATTTCTGTCATCTATGAACGTTGAGGTTTTTAGCGATTTTGTTTAGTAATAGTAAATTTGTTTACTTGTCGTCATGGAGCGCTATACAATTGAGCAACGTGTTTTATTTATTAAAACCCATTATAAACATGGCGAGTGTGTTGCGGTAACTGTAAGGAAACTTCGTACGATCCTCGGATACCGTGGAGCACCAACCGCGACAACAATAACGAGGTTAGTCAGTAAATTTGAAGAGACGGGATCAACTGCAAACATTAAAAGCCCTGGGCGCAAACGATTCCAAAGGACGAATGAAAACATCGCTGTTGTGAACGACTTTGTCATTGTGAGTCCGAGTAAATCGATCTGTCGCCGTTCTCAACAGTTAGGCATTGGGATAAGCTCTTTGCAACGAATTCTTAAGAATGATTTACACTTACATGCATATAAGATACAGTTGACCCAGGAGCTTAAGCCGGCGGACCATACTAAACGAAGAGAATTCGTTAATTGGATTTTAACGAATCAACGTCCTATTGATTTTGTGAAAAAAATCATCTTTAGTGACGAGGCACATTTCCACTTAAGTGGATATGTCAATAAACAAAACTGTCGAATTTGGGGAAATGAGAACCCAAGGGTAAGCATGGAAAAACAAATGCATCCACAGCGAGTAACCGTTTGATGTGGCTTTTGGGCAGGTAGAGTGATCGGCCCATACTTTTTTGAAGATGAACGTGGAAATGCAGAAACAGTTAATGGAGATCGTTATCGAAATATGATTTCAAATTTTCTTTGGCCTATTCTGGATGACATGGACACAGAAGAAATGTGGTTCCAGCAAGACGGTGCTACCTATCACACTTCTGGGACCACAATTGCATTCATTCGTGAAAAATTTGACGGCCGACTCATTTCCATTCGTGGCGATCAGCAGTGGCCACCAAGGTCATGTAATTTAACTCCATGTGACTTCTTCCTTTGGGGCTACATTAAATCACTCGTTTATGCAAACAAACCGCGAACTTTATTCGATCTTAAGCAAGAAATTAAACGAGTTATCAGTGAACTCGATGGGCAAATCTGTGAAAACGTAATTTGTAATTTCATGGACAGAGTCACTGCGTGTCGAGCGAGTAGAGGGGGTCATATACACGATATTGTATTTCACACTTTAACCTCAAGTCATAGTGAAGTTATATATACCATTAATTACGTATTTATTATAAAATAAAATTGATTTATAGCAAAATTAAAAACTGCGTTCTTTATGAAAAATTTAATATTTTTTTTTTTTTTTTATTTTTACTAAATAAAATAGGTTATTACCTACAATAGACCCAAATGAGATTAACGATGTTCTTCAAACTGGTAAGTGACAAAAAATTTAAATATTGATGTTATTATGAAATATTTGATGATAATCAATTATTTTAATAATTTATTGTAAACAGAGTCTGAAATGGAGCATTTGGAAGATTCTGTTTCAGATTATCTACCAAACTACAGTTCTGATTGAACACATGTTAGTGATTCTG